CCTGATGCGGGGCTCGATCCCAGGACCCTGGGATCATGACCTGAGCCGAAGGCAGACGCTTAACGACTGAGCCACCCAGGCGCCCCTGCTTAGCCTCTTTTAAATGTACATCCTTATTTTGCACAAAAAGAAAAGAAGAGTAGTATGATCATAAGTGAATGACCTTTCAATCCTGTGAATCCTGTGTGCATTTATGCAGACTCAGCACTGTCTGTATTTTTTTTTTTTTTTTTAGTGCTTCTTGTGGAGTTTAACAATATTTGTTTTGTACTTTGAAAATTCATTAGATTTTTCACCTTTATTGATAAAGCCAATTTTGAAGTTGAGTAAAGTTAGCTAGTATAGAAGAAATAAGGCCATGGTAAGCCTTTGAAAATATTTATGAGACTGTGTATTTTAAAGTAATCTTTAAGATTATGTACAGTTTTTGTTATTTATTTATTTGAGAGAGAGAGAAAAAGAGAGCAGGGGAGGAGCAGAGGGAGAAGGACAAGCAGACCTCATGCTGAGTGCAGAGCCTGACATGGGGCTCAATCCCAGGACCCTGAGATCATGACCTGGGCTGAAATCAAGAGTTGGATGCTTAACTGACTAAGCCACCCAGGTGCCCCAAGATTATGTACAGTTTTATACAACATTTTAGAATGGGGGCGCCTGGGTGGCTCAGTCGTTAAGCGGCTGCCTTCAGCTCAGGTCATGGTCCCAGGGTCCTGGGATCGAGCCCCACATCGGGCTCCCTGCTCCGCGGGAAGCCTGCTTCTCCCTCTCCCACCCCGCCTCCTCCCCGCTTGTATTCCCTCTCTCGCTGTCTCTCTCTTTCTGTCAAATAAATAAATAAAATCTTAAAAAAAAAACAAAATATTTTAGAATGTTACTTAGAAGCCATAGATTTTGAGTCATTTATTTTTATTTATTTTTCACTTTATTTTTTATTGAGGTGTAATTGACACACAACATCTTTATTAGTTTCAGGTATACAACGTAATGATTTAATATTTGTATATACTGTGAAATGATCGCCACAGTAAGTCCGGTTAATATCCATTACCATGCATAATTATAGATTTTGTTTTCTTATGATGAGAACTTTTTAGATAAGCAATTTTCAAATACACTATACAGTGTTACTAACTACAGTTTCCATGCTGTCCATTCCTTGTATTTGTGTCATCCATGACAAAGATCCCAAAATGACTTTCTTTTCTGATACTTTCTTTTGAATTAAAAGTATGTTTTGGATGGTTAGCTTCTTGACTTTGGGGTCAAGAGCTATTGCAATAGGCTACACCTACATGTATCGGGCTTTTAAAAATAAATATCATGTTGGGCGCCTGGGTGGCTCAGTTGGTTAAGCGACTGCCTTCGGCTCAGGTCATGATCCTGGAGTCCCGGGATCGAGTCCCGCATCGGGCTCCCTGCTCCGCAGGGAGTCTGCTTCTCCCTCTGACCCTCCTCCCCTCATGCTCTCTGTCTCTCATTCTCTCTGTCTCAAATAAATAAATAAAATCTTTAAAAAAAAAAAATAAAAAAATAAAAATAAATATCATGTAATTTGTATAGCCTAAGAAACATGTAATATGTTGAAGTAGTACTTGAGGTAAGAATTTTAAAAATTTTCAGTAAGTACATTTTTTAGAGTGTCATATAATATCCATAAGTAACTGGAATTAAATTTTCACTTAACTGGGTGGGAAGATGGGTAAACTAGGCGAGGGGGATTATGGAGGGCACTTGTGATGAGCACTGGGTGATGCACGGAAGTGCTGAGTCTCTGTATTGTACACCTGAAACTAAGACAACACTGTATGTTAACTCTACTGGAACTTAAAATAAAATTACATTAAAATCTTTTCATTTAACTGTGGGAAAAAGAAGCCCTGATGTTCTTGTTTTTCTCTGAAGTTTTGGTTGCATGTGAGTAATAACTCATATGACCTAAAACATATCAGGAAGAGGTGCATCAATAAATAGTAAGGTAAAGCTAATCTCTATTGCTGGCTCTGGCACTTACTAGTTCTTTGAACTTGGGCAAAAGACTATCTGTTTTGAGTCACAGTTTCCTCATATTTCAAATATGGGTGGTAATGCCTATGTTGTACCTATGTTTTGAAGATGAACAATAATAATAATGCGTAATGCATGCAGAGGGCCTAGCTCAGGACCTGACACAGAGCAGGAGTTTAATAAATGCATTGTAACTTCTTTTTATATATTCACAGTCAAAATCTTTGTCCCAAAAGGTTTCTTGTCTAGGAGCACACAGCTAGAGTAGAAACTGCTTAGTGTATAGAAAAAAATTGTCAACCAGAGTCTGGTTTTACTGCTTTTTTGTTTTGACAGTTCTGTTCAGTGGTTTCCTATCACATGTAGGATAGTCTAGACTTCTTGGTGTGGTTCACAGGGTGGTGCTCCTTTTTCTCTGTCCTCATCTCCCACCTCACGCCCATTATCACCCTGTGGTCTAGCTCTACAGGTGCCCAAGGGCCCATAGTCCCCCTGCCTGTGTGCTTTGGTTCGGGCTATCCCCCTGCAGTCTCCCCTGTGTCCTCCTCCCCCTGGAAGAAGTCCAGCTTGCCTATCCCTCATCCATCCCTTACCCATCCCAAAGTCAGCCAGACTCAGCCTCCTCCTGAGCCCTGCTCTCTCTTTGGCTGAGATTCACACTCCCGTCTGTTCTCCCAAAGTACTTATTTTAGCACTTACAGTATTACAAGTTTATATTGTAGTATTGTGGTATTATAATTATAGTTATATTTCATAATGTTCTCTTCCCCACTGCAGTGCACTCCAAGACTTTTATGTCACAGGCTCTAGCTTACATAGCACTCTTAGGCACATGATCTCATTCAATCCTCAGATAGATATTTTTATCTTGGAGGTACGGAGAATGAAGCCATGGCTCAGGAAGATGGAATCAATCTCCCAGAGTCACACAGCTAGTGATCAGCAGAGCTGGGGTTTGAACTGGAGGATAGTTTTCTTTCCACTGCACCATCCCCCTCACATGTCAACACATAGAGACACATTTGAAGAACAATTTGAAAAAGGAATTTCCCTAACACTGTCTTTGGAAATTCTACTTAAATCTTAATCCATGGGATGGATGGGCATCTTCAAGTAACATTAATGATCTCAGGTTTGTGAGTAGCTTGAAACAATTAGCAAGTTACTGAGAAATGAGTGGTTTCTTATAGCATGTTTGAATTATACTAGGTTAGTACAATCTGCTTTCCAGTAAGAGATGAATATGGACTGCATGGCAACGGGAATGTGATGTACATGCACTGCCGATGTGAATGATTTTTCTTTATGACCCATTTAGGGGAACATGGTGCTGGACGCATCACTCTGTGGGGGGAGGGGTGGAAAGCCAATACTCTAATGTGGTCAGATTTACACCAGGTGAGTGCTGCTCACATGAGCCAGGTACACTCAGGGATGTCAAACATGACTATAGAATGATGGCTTAACTGTGAAATGAATAGATTTCTCAAGGTTAAGTTCTATATTATTATTAGCAGATTTATAATTCTTTCAGCCTGAGTTGAAGAAAGAAGGAAAGAAAGAAAGGAAGAAAGAGTGAGGAAGGAAGGGAGGGAGGGAGGGAGGGAAGAAGGAACTTATATATATTTCTGAAGGTAACTTTGGTTTCATACCAGGATTATTAGCTATTTGGACAAAAAATTGATAGGTGATATTATGTAACTTAGCTACTCCTGAATGGCAGGCTGTTGGCAATAGTCTTAAAAGCATTTGGCTTTCTACGCTATGTTATCAGACCTGTATTTCACAAAATTCACAGGTGCTTAATGATCCTTGGAGTAATATGAGAAAAGAGATTTTATGTAATATGAGAGGCTCAGGGTCACCGCTAGTAAGGAAGTTTTTTCCTTCTAATTTCAGAACATTTTTTTTAGAGACAGAGCCCTATTTAACTTATAACGCCTACTTTATTTTAGCCAAACATATCTAAGATAAGACAATTATGCCATTCCCTGACTTGGAATAATATAGTCAAGAAAAAGTTAGGACGTCTACATTGAAATGTAGTGAGTCATCGTTGATATGCTATGAAAACAGATTTCCATGTGTGCAGGGCTTACAGTGAATCAGGCCCAGGAAATCAGGCAGTGCTTTGCTGAGATTCATAGAGCAGGACAACAAACAAGCAACTTCATGTATCTTTTTGTTCATCTTTTGTGTGATCTTTGAGAAAATGTCCTTATGAAGGGGATGAAGGGATTTTTGAAGGCCCTTATTGTAGGGAGATATTTATGTTCTCAGTCTAGTAAGGAGCATAGCGTTGAAATGATTGGATTGTTGGGAAAGGAAAGAAATGGCATTGGTGAATTTGAGCAGCTTAACGTAAAAATGGAATTTATCTTAGTTTAGTGCATTTTGTACTACTACAGATGGTCCACATTTTAAATAAAATGATATATGAAAGTTCAGGCTATGAAAATAATAAACATAATTTTATTATGTTTAATAATTTAAAAATTATTTGCCTTACCAAAGAGTCCATTATAGAGTTTCTTTAA